CAACAGTTGGTGGGGATGAAGAAGCAGATGGAACTGAAGGAGGAGAAGGTGATGGTGTTGCAGATTGAGGGGGACTCATCTGCAGGAGGAGAAGGAGGAGAGTCGGAAACAGACGGTGGGGGTGTAAGCACAGGAGCACTTTCTGGTGGCTTTCCCAGAGGTGGAGGAGGGGAACTGGAGGATGGTGATTTTGGGACATTCTTTGGAGGAGGAGGGACTGGAGGATGGAGATTTTGGGACATTCTTTGGAGGAGGAGGAGAATTGCTGTGAGAGGGGAGGCGGATCTGCCGCAGAGGTTCCTTTGAGGCCTTGGGGGGAGGAGGAGAACCTCCTACTGGAGGTGGTGGGGATAATTTGGAGCAGCAGGTGACTTCTGAGCTGGAGGAGGGGTGGAAACATGCTGGTGGAGGTGATGGTGGTGGCAATGCTGAAGGTGTTGGTGGAGGAGAATTTTGCGTAGATGGTAACGATGGTGTGGGCAATGCTGGAGGCGTGGTTGAAGCCTGAGGGGACAATGATTCAGGTGGGGAGAAGCCGGTGGCGGCAATGCTTCAGGCGGGGGTGAAGCTGGTGGGGGCAATGCCGGCGGTGGGGATGAAGTTGGCGGTGGTGTAGCTGGTGGAGGAGAAAGAAATGGGGAAGGAGGTGGGGTTGCAGTGTCAGAAGGAGATGAAGGAGCAGGGGTATTAGAGGTTTGACTGGGTGGGCTAGAAGTGGGAGGCTGATGATACGAGAGAATTTGATGGGGAATTATCAGCAGAAGTGGGTGGAACAGCAGAAGGGAAGAACTAGGAGAAGCCATCAATGTAATCTTCCCAAGAGATCAAAATGCACTAAAATATTTCCATTCCTACTTTACAAAATTAACGGTTCCTCCCCAGAAACAACACTAGGCCAAGCAAGACCTTCCAGATCGGAAATGAACCACAAAATACAGATCAAGCTTTCCCCAGAGAAATGAACAAATTTAACAATCAACTTGACCAGGATGACCGAATTCAGGAAAATGTGGGTTAGAAGAGGTAAATAAAAGTCAATATAACCACAACTCCTACGAAGAAAATTTATGAACACTCCAGTGTAATCCTCAAGGAAATGCAGAAACTTTTGGGAGAAAGACAAATCAAACCTGCAGCATTATCACGCACATTTGTAACTCAGCTTCTCCATTTAAGAACCAAAAGTCAAGGCCTAGTGCAGAATGAGCAGATCGCCAAGAATAAAAAAAGCAGACTTTAGAACAAACAAACAAACTGAAAATGAAGAAATGTTTTACCAAAGACGTGTATGAACGACAGGTTGGAAGCTGAGAATTCTTCAGAAAAGCTCCATTCGCGGAATATGGGGGAAGAGAAGGAGAAGCCAGCCGGATACGCAGATGAAAACGTGGGGCGACTCAGAGGACCCAGCTTCAGTCCCTCACATGCAGCCCCGGAGGAAAAGTGGCTTGGACAAATTTGAAAGAATAATTATACAGCTGATTTCTTTTTCTATCCCTTCTGTTCTCTTTCAACCTCTCGTTGAAAAAACAAAAATTTGTCTGTAGTAAATGGAAAAGACGCAGAAATCATTATCTCATTAATACCATTAATATATTATAGTACTTCTAGATTCTCACCGTAACATACATAAGTGGTGCTTAACTCCTTGTGACTCCCTCTTGCTCCGCACTAAATAACAATTTTATACTTGAATAATAATTTTAATAAAATTAGTTAAAATTAATTATTTCTTATAAAATATTAAAATTACTATGAACAGAAGTCATTAATGAGAGAAATTTGATTAATTTATTACAGAAATAAGGTGAAAAATTAGAAACAAACCATGTTAAATTATAAAACATGTGGTGGGTCCTTATCTTAATTATAGTTTTTAAGATTGTCGCTTTTGAAATTTAATGTATTTTCTTTTTGGAATAAGGTAATTAAACACCTTAAAAGTATTCACCAAGGAGTACCCTATATTTAGAAGTTTCTCCTTTTTTTTCCCCCTCTTAGATGCCTATAAGCTTTATTTTAGGGAGAATTGTAATTAGGTTTCACTCAAGAGAATTAAATACAAAAAGGTCCCTTGAAATCATGAAATTATTTTGAAATCTCAAGAGACTTTTTTTGTAATAAATTTTATTTATTTAATTACCAAATTACCCTTCTTCTTTTTTTAAAATTTGTATTGACAACTGAAAGAGCAGTAGTTGACAACTTAGGGTGCAAAGATTGACAACTATCGCGGCTGATTTGACAATCCTTGCACCATAAGTTGTAAACCACTACTCTTTCAGTTGTAATATAAATTTAAAAAAAAAGAGTAATTTGGTAATTAAACAAATAAAATTTATTACAAAAAAATCTCTTAAAACTTTAAAATAATTTCATGATTTCAAGGGATTTTTTTTGTATTTAATTTTCTTAAGTTGCACCTAATTGTAATTTTCTCTTTATTTTATAGCATCTCTACTCTAAACTTGTTATCTACCATTAAATTTAACCACTAAAAACTCAGCCAAGTCGTATAATTTAGCAGTAAAGTTTAACGCTGAATAACAATCAAAGTTTTTTTTTAATGCAAAAATAAACATGTGGTACTTCTTTGTTGATACTTTCAAAGCATTTAAACACCTTATTTCCCAAAAAAAAAAAACATTAAAAAAATTCTCTTATATAAAGAATAGATAATCCATATTTCTTCATCCATATAAAATGATTAAGTACTTGTTTGGCATCATAGTATATTTTACGTAAATTAAAACAAAATTAGTGTCACATACTTATTTTTACATTTCATTGATCATGATTAAGTTATTTGTAAACTATTGTAAAGGAGCCGTAATTCTCAATCACAAAGGGCTGCGGTGGATGATCTTTTTCATGCCTCTCTTTTCAAATTTATCACGCTCACCTTTCTGAGGAGGAGTAAGATCTGAATTGACTTTTTCTCTAATGGGTCATTTTCCTTAAAAACGGTGATTACGGGAACCTTTTAATTTCTATCGCCAATTAATTATATTTTGCAATATTTTGAAGTCTTCTCTTCAGACGCTGAGAGTGAGAGATTTGCTATGCTACCTTACAAAACAACTAATGCCCAGATAATTTTTTCCCTTTCGATGAAGTTTGGATTAGTTTCTTTATGATAACGTTATCTGTTATACTAGTAAACTTTTTTTTCCATATTTAAACGTTATTTTTCTGGCCAAAAAAATTTACTTTAATTAAAGTGCCCAATATTCAAAAGATCTGTCTTAGATTTCTACACTCACACACACATATATGATTCGAGCTTTTGATTTGTGTCAGGTTTCTTTAAACTTAACCTTTTTGTTCTTCTGTTTCGGCTAATAAGTTGAAGTTTATTTTTTGCTAGATTTAGTTTTCCGTCCAAAAGGGAAAGAAGGAAAAATTAAAATTACTTGCAATAGTCATTGAACAATTACAATTAAGGGCATATATAACAAAAATCAAGTATATCAATAATCAATAAATAGTAAAATAAATAGAATAAAGATGTCATAGTATCATATTAGTTTATGTTTATATATCAGAGTATATTAACAGCCAAAGATCTTTTAACAATGTGCTCTAAGTGGATGAAAATGGGGGTTCAGTCCGACCCATGGAATAAGAAAACAAGAGTATATTAACAATAAAAAATGGATTAGTTATAATTAGTTAGTTATATTACTTATTACTTCTGATCCTTAATACAAGAGCTAATTGACTAACTTGAGTAAATTAAGAAAATTAATTAAATTAGTTATCTGTAATAAATAGGTGTTGTTTTTTTTAAAATATCCTTACTAATTATGTGCATTGATTATAACTACTATTACTACAAGGACTACCTTAAAAAAATAGATAAATGTGTTAAATAAAATGGATTAGAATCTTATTATATTTAGAATTAAACTGAAAGTCAAACTAACTTTTATATTAAGAATCAGAAGTAGTGTATGGCTAAAGTATATTACCGATTATTAGTATGCTTTTGTGGATAATACTTGGTTCATTGTTAATTTTAAAACTATTATGTAGAAGTTTTAGTATATTTTATTAACACAGAGTTAGCGTCTTTTTTATTAATAAGATTAATAATGTCAAAAATTAGGGGTTGAAAATGCATGTTTTAAATTTAAATGACTCAATTGAAATTTAATGTAGATTTAGAGAACCAAATGAATAACTTAACCTTTTATAAAAAGGCATATGATATCGGAATGGGAATAATTGATAAATTTTAAAAAAAATTCTGACTTTTCTTATGTTGATTAAATTTGTGTTTTGGAATCATTTATGATTATGATTCTCTGAATGAATGCTATGAGAAATTCCCATATGCAATAAATACATGCCTATTGAAAAGTCAAAGTCAAATATACTATTTATAGTATCTAAAATCTTTATATATAAAAAAACAAATACTAACATTCAATGCTCCTAAACTAATTTTGTTTTTAATATATTTCCTGCATTTTATAACATGGCACAGAGAGAAATTTTCTCCAAAAAGGGGAATTCAATTCTAACATATAAGGTTGGCAAAAAGAAAAATCTAACAAAGCAGTATAAGTCCCACGCATAGATATAATTGCATTTGATAAGATGGGTATATAAAAGTAAATGCAATTACTAAGGGTGTTCCCAAACTGGCTTTGACACTGTTAAAAAAAAAAAAAATTCTAACTCAAATGAAAGTTTGGATTGACCATTGGGCAGATAGGTTTATGATCGACTTCGAATTAAGGGGGTGTTTAGTTTGTTCTCGAAGCAGTTTTTAATATTTTCACACAAATCAAAATAATTCCTGTCATATATTGTAAAATTATTTTTAAAATTATAGTTTGGTTTTCACGTAAATACTTTTTAAAAGCTAAAAACAACTTGTAGCTGCTTATAGTTTCTTCATCTTCGGCTTTTTTTTTTTGGCCTGTTTTGAGTTTTCATCCAAATAAGTTTTTGTTACAAAAGCTAATTAAAATATAAATCACATTACACTATATAACTATTATCTAAAGTCAAATTGAAAATATTACTATTACTGTTAATCCAAACACTCCCCAAAACATCGGGTTATAATGTGTTGTTAATTTCACTCATATTCATCCATTTCTCTTGCCCCAGTCTAACTTTTTTTAAATTTAGATTAAGGTTAGCAAAAATAACTTTTTTATAACTTATTTTCACGAGACTAAAATTGAAGTAAAAATTAATTATTATAATTAATGTAGTATAATGTATATTTGGATGGGTTTTTATTAAAATAATTAGTTTGATATAAACTCATTTGTACGACATATTTAAAAGTTAATTTAAAAATGTTCAAATTTAAAAGTTCTAAAATTTAAATTCCAACTTAAATCAATTTTAAATCTTTCAAACAAGCATGAATTCTCCTTTGGATGGGTGCTTCTCATTTCATTCCTTAATTCCAATAAAAGTGTTCTAAAATTATGATTAAATTAAATCAAAATCTAAGAAAACAATATTTTATGTGATGTTACAATAATACTCCTTTCAATTTTAAAAGTAAGACATATTTTATAATGTAAATTATATTACAAAATGTGTTTTACATTGATGATCAAAGAGTATTTAGTCATAGTAGGCTCTTTGACAAATAACCAAAATTAACTGCAATATCGATCATGTATATAACGAATGTTTACTGAAAAGATATGTTTATAATATTTATATTAAAA